TTAGGATGGGAAATCTAGAATTGCAATTAAAAAGCCTACAAGTATTTGCACCACTATTCCCTATAACAGGCAGGAGCTTATGATTTTGACATAGTGATGACATTATTTGTGTTGTCCAAATTTTTCTAAGAGGAAAAGCAAATGTTAACACAATTGATGCTAAAAAGGTGACAATCTTTTTGATAGTTGGAACATTTAGTTCTAGTATTGGTAAATCACGTTGCTTTCTTTTATCATTTACTACTTTAAGTTTTTTGCACTGTAGTGTACTTAACAATCCATTAAAGAAGCTTGTTAAATTTCCAGGGATTGATTCATGAAATTCATCAAGAGATCCTGGGCTTTCCAATGATGATTCATTTTTCTGTAGTGTGGTACGTGATTGCCAAATGGATGTTGCTAAGGTCTTACCATAATTTTTGAATACTTCAGGATTTAACTGATTTACTTCTTGATATTCATTTAAATTAAGTTTTTTTACTGCAAACACCACATTCAAAAGAAAAAAATTTGGAATTGTTTGATTATCAGAAGATTCTGTTGATATTGATATTGAATCTGTCTCTGTAGATATTGTTGAAAGTTTTGGTTTAAAATCTTTAATGACCTTAGTTAAAAGATTTAATAGTTTATCTTTTTCATTATTATCACTTGATAAAGCAACATTACTAATCCATTTAGCAATAAGTTCCAAAGAAGATTTAGAGTCTCTTTCATGTTTATTTTGATCCACACAAGAAACTTGTCTTTTTCCTGGGCCCAATCTTGAATGAAGGTGACCACCATATAATTTGAAGCAATCTGTGCAAACATATCGAACATATTGAGTGTTTGTTGGTTTGCTTGTTAAATTTGGATGTAGAGTTATTGCTGGACAATTAAACAACCCACGGCATGGAACCTGGATATTACGACCACATACATTCCATAAATGTTTTTTGCAAGCATCTCCACGTGTGTAAAAATTTTTGTATTGATTGCAAAAAAGACATCGTTTATTGTGAATGGTGCCTTTAGAAAAAGAATGTGTTGCTTTTATCCGTTCCTCCCCTTTTATAGGTTGGTGGAGTGTATTTTGATCATAATTCAAATGCCTTAAGCAAACACCTAACCTCTCAAATTCATCTCCAACTTCTTTCACAGCATTTGAATCAATTTCAAAGGAACCAATCAAATTATGAATGCTACGAATCTTGTCTACACTATTACAACGTTTAATTTTCTCTTCATCATTTTCATTGTCAATAATCACACATGGTGTCACTTCAATTTTATCAAATTTATCTGTTATTGGAACCTCTCTATCAAATTCAGATTCATCATTCATTTCTACATCATAATGGTCATCAAAGCATTCATCATCTATGTAATCAGCATTTATAGTATTTTCAATTTCTTGTTGGAGTAAGTTATAATCAAATGTAAGTAATGATTCATTTAATTGACTTGCTTGGAAATTGGACATTTTTGGTGATTAAAATTTTTATTTATTTGAAATATTGAATTTTTGTTAGTTTGGTGATTAAGATTTTTATTTGATTATTTTATTTGAAATATTAATTTTTGTTAGTATAATTAGATCTAAATCAGTTGTATTTGTAATTTTTTTTACTTATCTTATATGATTTGAATTTTTAACTCTTTGGATCCAAATTTATCAAATCTAAAAATACCAATGGCTGGGTTATGTTAATGGCTCATTACAATTGAGCATCAATTTGAAATTCACATGTGTGAAATTCAAATTAGCCAATCAGAATTTGTATTCAAACACCCACCCAAAATTTAATTAATATTAAAATAAATTTCAAATTGTAATTTGATTTTCATGTATACAAAGTGTAACCTAATTAAGAAATCCATTATAAGTGTCAAGGGTCCTACAAACTGATAAAACTTAATTGTAAAACAAAATATTTTCAAAAAAGGTTAATTGAATATTAATATATATAAATAAAAAAAAATTCTAAATTATGTCGTTATACTAGTATAATGAGATAAACAATAGGTGTCATTTAATTTTGTCATTCGTAATTGATTTCATCACGCATAATTGATTTCGTCACACATAATTGGTTTCGTCACGTGTAATTAATTATAATTTTGTAAATAATTTTGTAATTACATATTACGTATTACTATTACTATTACGTTTTTGGCAAAACAATTACCATCCCATGTTATAATATTGAATCTATCAATTATGATGACATTGATTCAATTACATATATTAATATGTATGTATATTGATTTATGAATTAAGATAAATAATACTTTTTAATAATTTACATCCTAGGTAAATAAATATATAAATAAATAATTCTATTATAATATAGTTATAATATCTATTACTTACTTTTATAATAATAAGTTGTAAAATTGGTTCTTTTTTTAAAAAATATTAATTTAATTTCTATGAATTAATTTTTTATTATTAATTAATAAGAATAATTTTATATTCATTGATTCAATTATGTTAATATGTATGTGTATTGAGATAAATAATAATTAAGACGATTCTTTCTTAAATAAGTTAACTAAATTACGACGTTATACAAATAATTAATAAAAATAAAAATAAAATAAAAATGAAAATAAAAATAAAACGTATTACGAAGTAGATGTAATACGGATAAAAATAATACTAAATTAATAAAATAAGATTATAAAAATAAAATAAAAATAGAAATAAATAAAATATAATCAGAAATCCCGATTGATTACTTCATAATATTATTTATTTTTGATTAATTATGTAGAGGAATCATACTAATTCATTTACTTCAAATGTATAATGAGATCTAATTTCATATCTTTTTTGCAGTTGTAATAATGAAAATTTTTCTCATCACTATTACTATTATTACTATTGCTATTATAATGTGCGGGTGTGCGGAAATTGTGCGGAGAGTGTGCGGATGTGCGGAAATTGTGCGGAGAGTGTGCGGGTGTGCGGAAATTGTGCGGAGAGTGTGCGGGTGTGCGGAAATTGTGCGGAGAGTGTGCGGGTGTGCGGAAATTATGTGAAATTTTTAAGGATTCATCTCTGTGTGACAAGAAATAGATTAAACTTGAGAAAAAATTTTTTTTCTTTAAAATTAAAATTTACAAATGGACGGTTATTATAATAATAATAACAAATATAATAATAATAATTATAATAATAATAATTATAATAATAATAATTATTTAACATTATACAACATTAAAAAAGAACGCAATGAACCAGATGTAAATTGGAAAAACGACTTTAAGTGGCTTGATATCAAAAAAGAAGAAGAAATATTCGTGATGTATTGCAGAATATGCCATGAAGCTAAAAAAAAAAATGCATTCGCTAATGGCTGTAAAATATATAAAAGAGATTATCTGGTCCGACATCAAGCTATAGCTGATCATAAACAACTGGTTAATTTAAATAAATATCAAACTAGAATTGAAACCTTCCTAGTACCATCAAAAAGAAAACCAACTCACATATCACCACCACCAAGTCAATCACCAAGTCAGTCACCAAGTCAGTCACCAAGTCAGCCGCCAAGTCAGCCGCAAACTCCGTCACCAAGTCAGCCACAAACTCCGTCGCCAAGTCAGCCGCAAACTCCGTCACCAAGTCAGCCGCAAACTCAGCCGCAAACTCCGTTGCCAAGTCAGCCGAATTATAACATATTAGAAAACAGGTATTAATAATTAATTAAATTAATTGCATTATATTTGTCATTATCAATTAATTTTTTTATTATCTAATCCTTTTTTTTTTTTTTTACAAAAAGTGATAAATATATAATTTTAATAAGTGTTCCTTTAGCAAAAAAAAAAGATTTAGGAATCATGTGCAACCAAAATGAAATCATTATAGAAGGAAATCACAACGAATATATTTATATGGACGATTTTCAATGTTTATACAAAGGAATCACCACTGGAAAATTTAAATTAAACATCAAGGTATTAAATACCATTGATCACAATGAAAAGGTTGAAGTAAACATCAACCATGGTATCATTGAAATCATTTTTAAAAAACTTAAATTTAGAAAAATAGAAATTATTTAATTTTTAATTTTATATATATTTTCATTATACACTTCCTGGTCATAAATATAAGGACACTTGCAGATCATCGGAAATAATTGAATAAAGAAACATGAAAAAA